AGAGTGATCTTATCTCATCTGTTTGTTTCCTCTGGACAACACTGAGAAGGATTATTGTTATTGTCTTCCTTTCAAAATAGGAAACAACTTGAAGGGCTTGTCCAAGGTGGAGCCCTTTGGCAGTAGCTTTCTGGACATCTTGCAGAATCCTCACCATACTGCTTTAAAGAAAGTACATTATCCTCCTCATTTTATGGACAGTGAGTCTGAGGCTCAGGAGGTTCCATCCCCTTATTCCTCTTTCCATCCAGAAAACACTTAGTGAGTGCTTTATGTGTGCCAGGTACAGATAGGTACTCTTAGGGAAGGAGCTGAAGTTAACATTTATTAAGCACTTACTATGTGCCAGACTTTGCAGAATTAAATCCTCCCCAGTGCCCCAAGAAGTGAGCAGATGAACACAGTGATTAGGAGGACCATGCATGGTGGGTTTGAATCCCAATGTCACTCATAACTATACAACTTTGGGCACACTGCTTAATTTCTCTAAGCCTTGGTTTCATCATCTTTAGAGATACTTATTGTGAGATGTCAAGGATGAACTGGGCTGACATGTGTAGTAATAATAGAAAATAAGGTTTGCATGTGTTTCTATGCCAGATATCACACTAAGCACTTTATGGCATGATCCCATTTACTTGTGTCAAAACCACAAATATGAAAAAAATTGAGCATGCTGTCTGGTATATAATAAGTTTAGTAAGAGGTTACAGTTGTATTGTGATTGGGTCATGTTTTCCCTAAGGCATACTGACTCTGAAGCGTGAGCTGCCATCATGATCCTGTTGGTGTGGTTGGAGATCCAGGAGTCTCAGGTGTGTATGTGGAGGAAGAGGAGTGTAGAGAACCAAAGTCTTGTAGGAATTTCCAGGAGAGGGTGAAAGCAAGATTGGAGGGAAACAAGGAGAAGGAGAAAGTGGGGAGAGTATGTGCAGATGAGTCTAGAAGTAGGAGCTGGAAGGGAAGACAGAGATTACAGCAGTGTGGCACTGGGCAGGATGCCCTCCTACACAGCTCTGATAACTGGGTGCAACTGGATAAAAGAATGGATGGAGTGGGGGAAGGGTTGTGGTAGTGGGGAAGAAGGCAGAGACAGCTGATAAATACCAGAGACCAAGAAAAGCCCTACAGCAACCAAACCTCCTCCTTTGGCACGACGATAACAGATTCCAGAGCAGGTGGGGAAGTTGTCCTCAGTGATGTAATTTTCCCTGAGCAGGGAAGTTCCCTGGTCACTCCCATGTACTAATCCCTGCCCCTGCCAGACACCTTAAATATCTTAGTTCTAGTTATCCCCACTTCCTACATAAACAAGCCGAGAGGCCCTAGAAGTGAGGCATCAGGCTAACAAATGGGCAGGCTGGAATTCAGACTGATTTTGAGCCTTAACCTATGATCTTTCCAAGAAGCAAATTTGCCTAATATACTCCAGAAGTCTAAAGATCCAAAACATTTTACTTCCCCTATATTTTTTATATAGGCAACACACACATTTTGTACCTCTTGGGTCTCAGCTCTTAGCTCCTCTACCTGGATGCTAGCGGAGCTCCCAACTTCTGAGCTCTTCCTGAGAGACTCTGTGCATTAATAAACACATTCACGTAGGTAAAATTTTACCTGTTATGTATGCTGTGATCCTTTTAGCTTGTACAATGAGTTGAATCTGCTTGCTTGTATAAAAGGGTGATTTTTTTTTTGTTCCTTTGCAATCTCTTAACAGATTGCCTGTGATGACCATCACATTCTGGTTTAAGACTTACTCATGAGTAAAAAGTATCTTTTTCTCTATTACTTTCATGAGGAAGACTTCTGGGTTGGGTGACAATTTTGTTTTCAACTGTATTTCTGCAGCATGAACATATCAAGCTAGCTGTCTGGTTCTTAATTTCCTCTTTGGAAAGACATAGGCAGCCCTAACCCACCCCTTGGCCACCACCTCCTGGGTAGGTGATTCTGAGAGTGATGTAGGTTTGGCTTGTGAAGTTCCTTGCTAGGGGGCTGGGGAGGAGATATCTGGGGATGGTTGTGGCTACTTTGCTCTATGGCATTGGTGACCGCATGGCAGTCTTAAACCTGGCACAGCATGAATGCTGCTAGCTGAACACACTGAGGGAGGAGTCATGTGGTCTGATTTCAAATCTTGGCTCTGGCAACTGACTAGAGGTACAAGTTTGGACAAATCTCTTCATTCCTCTGTGCCTCAGCTTCCCTATCCCTGAAAAAAGAGCTATAGGCCGGATAATTGCCATTGACTAGAGGTACAGGTTTACACAAACCTCTTCATTCCTCTGTACCTCCGTCTCTCTATCTATAAAACAAAGATCTATAGACCTAATAAGCTTCAAAGTTCTTGTTATATCTCCAATGGCCTGTGATCCTCTGCATGGTTTTATTTGCAATGGGGTCCTTGACCTGACCTCAGGCACAGCTTCTTACCCACCATAGGTATCTTCCTTGTGTTCTCTAGGAAGCCTTCCCTGAACCACACCCACCTCTGTGCTGGGCTTTGAGAACATCTGGAACTCCATAGCACTTCTACAGTGAATAACTTATTTCTGCATCAGACCTGAAGCTTCCTGGGGTCCAAGATCAAATTTCTTTGGTAGCTGTCTGGTGCCTAGTATAGAGCATTGACCACATCGTAGCAACTGTGTACATTTCATGCTGCTGCTTTTTAAGCATTCTAAATGCTCCCTCATGTCTCAGGCCGCATATGTCTTATGGAAACTGTTAGGGTACTGACATTAATACCCTGTTTTGGTAGGAAAGGAAATGGGCTCAAAGAAATGAAGCCAGGAGGTTATTTTCCCATGGCCAGAAGTGGTTGAGCTGGGATTCAAACTCAGGTATCTAAGACTGTATTTTGGCCTGGTTTTCCCTCCTTGAGTCTCCCATTCTTCCATCCCCCCTGGTTGGTTGTTCTGTGAGTCCTTCCAGATCCACTCTCTGTCCTTCTTGGCTGGTGTGGCTGACTTGCAGGCATGGCAGCTCCCAGGCTCCTTTGAGCACTGGCTTCCAATTGAGCCTGGTCAGTGGGATCAGAGGTGGGGAAGGGGGAGCTGCCAGTGTTCTCTGCCACCCCTTCTGCATGCCCCCTGCTGCTTTGGTCATGATTGCCTTCTCCGTCCAGCCCTTAGACCCTCCAGCAGGTCCTCACCTAAGCTTTTGTTCCCCGTGGGTTCCTCTAAAACTCCAACTACCCCTCATGCCAAGAGATGCAACATAGCTGGCTTCCTCCTGATGCTAACTCCTGGATGCTCCCAGTCCTTCCTCTTCCCATTGATCTGTATGTTTCAGCAAAGAGGCCTTTTGCCAACCCCCTTTCCAACTCTTCTATAATCACTCTTTAAATTTGCTTCTCTGAATAACCAACTGCTTCTTTTCAGCCCCTCTTCCTCCCTGCCTATTGCTGCTACATGTCTCCCAGCCTCAGTCCTCTCTCCTCTCTCTCTTCTTATGCACTAAGACAGCCCCAAGGAACCCTGCATGTCCACACAACTGAGAATGGTTTCCCTACAATGGAGGGGTTAGTATTAACCTCATTCATTTCTCAAATGCCTGAATGGGGCTGCCACAGTAAGGACTCTGGGGTGTTGAGGCCAGTCAAGACATTCGGCAGCTTCCTAATTAGTGATAGCTTCTGCCTCCAACTTACTTCCCTCCACCTTGGCATTCACTGGTGTTGTAGATGGATGAAGGCCTTGTCTAGTCTCTGCTGACATGGGGGATTGCAGACATCATCCTGGGTAGCAGAATCCCATCCTGCTTCAGGCTTCCCTTCAGAGCCCAGAGAAGCTGGCGGTCACTGAGTGCCTCATTCCAGAACAACTGTCCCCTTTTGGCTGGAGAGAGGCCCAGGGTACCATCTGGGTGCTGCCATTGGCTGGGTTTCTCAAGAGGGTGGTCCCAGGGTCACAGCCTGATCTCCCATACCCTGCAGTTCTCCAACACGAGCAGCCTTTCCGGGTCATTGGCATGTTTCTACATTTTATGAGCCTTGGCATGTGGTCAAGAGTGCTGCTGCCTGAGTCACGGTCTGTTTGTTGACCCTGATGGGATGGTGGGAGTTACACATTAGCCACAGTTTACCCTTGACTTGGACGTTGGCCAAGATTGCTTACAGACCAGGTCTCCAATTAAGCCAAGCATTTTTTCCTTTAGAATTTGCTACTTAGGACTGAAATTAAATTGATCATTCCATATTATGCACGATCTGTTTTCCAAAGGCCATTACTTAAATAACATTCTTTAGGCTTTGTACTTCTTGGATATTCCTTGCCCCATATAAGTTTTTTCTTGTCACCTGTATCTTCACTCCTTTCACCATTGTTTTCTGTGGACTCTCTATTCTATTTGGGACTAAACTTCTCCCCAGGTCCCTCAAGACCTTAGAATCAAGAAGGAGGCTTTTTTGTTGCCTATTGAAAAATAATATGACTAAATTCAAAAAAGGGAACTGATTAAATAAATGATAGCACATGAGTACAGGGATATACTACAGTTATGCATATCATCATGGTGCTGTCAATTCATTAACATGTACATAAAATCAGAGATTCCATTTTATTAAGAACAATACAGAATTATGTACCCCAGACTGTTCACAGTAGTTGTTCCTGAGGATTTATGAGTAATGATGATTTTTTTCCCTAAACTGGTTTCTAACTTTTCAATGATTGTGTTACAGAATTTAAGAGCTTTTTTAAAAAAAAAAAAGAAAAGGAATGTTCCCAAATTATCAGTATACTAAGATTATAATTATCTAAAAATATAGAGCTTGAAGTTATTCCCATATAAACATAAGAAGGAATAATTCAATTCCCTGGAAATAGTGAGAAAAACCAGATGGAACCTGTCCATCCCTCCCCTCTGTATTTTCCTTTGCATGTCCAAGGAAGGCATGTGATATAGCAAGAACTCTGTCCTCTGTCCAAAGCAGGAAGAGGGGCTGCTGCCAACAGCAAGGCTTTTGATCCCCAGCTGGGAGTCAGCTTGCTTACCTGGGGCACACAGTCTTCTTGGGCCTGAATCTGGCAAACGAGCAGGTAGGCAGTGAGTCCTGCGAGGACAGGGAGCAGCAGTAGGCAGCAGGTGAGAGACCAGTGCACGTTGTAGCTCCTGGCTCTTAGCCTGGCTCTGGCCTTGGGCCTGCTGCTGTCACCCTCAGGCAGCATTTCCACGCTGGCTGTTTCCCCAAAGCCCAGCCCCAGCTCCTCAGCCATGCTTCTGTTGTTCTGGAGACGCCTTTGACTACTCCTGGCCAGAGACCCTCCATTAAATAGAAGAGCAGCCAACAGCTCTCAACCCAGGCTGAGTTAATCACTTTGCCTTCTCCTCCCCTTTCTCCCCTCCCCCAGCCCTCTGCAGCCCTGCCCAGCTAGGGAATGCACCGCCCACAACAGAAACCAAGTTTGGTTTGAGATTAAAAAAAAAGAAAAGAAGAAGGAGAAAGCTTTCCCAAGCATATTTATATACAGTATGCGCAGTGCTTCTTCCTTCATTTACAGAAGGAAGTTAGGAAAGTCCCTGGAGGAGGAGAAAAAAATTCATCGACTCAGTGGGCAGGGCAAATTAAAATCCACCTGCTCCCTGCGCTGGAGGCCAGCCAGCTGTGCCAGTCTCAGTGGGAGTGTGTCTCTTTTGGAAGTGAAAGTGAGGGACAGGAAGGTAGGAGGCGTGTGGTTTGCAAACAGGAAATGGAAGTCACGTTTGCAATCAACCCTCTGCTCTGTCTTTTTGAGCCTGATAGCAATTCGTTCTCATTGTATGGGTGGGAATATTGATGTTCTGAAAGGGGAAGGCATTTGACCAAGATCACCTAGGGATTAAGGCAGAGGCCAGGAAGACGATCTAGTACTTCTAAATCATGATTTAGGGTTCTGGTCTCTACCACACAGCTGCCTATGAAATGAAAGATTACCTCTACCCTGTGTTGACCTTGGTCTACACAGAGATCAGGAGGTCATAGTTAGAGGTGTCTACTGATGAGAAGAGGGCATTCACTCCTATGGCCCGATCAATCCAAAGTTAATTGAGCACCAGTGACAGGCCTTGTTCACACTGGCTGTGTATGTACAGCAGGTAATAAGGGCAACACTTGTTAAGCACTTAGTTTGTGTTAGGCACTGCTCTGAGTTAAATGTGACATTACTTGATTCCAAGAAGACTATTCCCATTTTCCAAGTATGGCATGGACAGCAAGAGAGAAGGACAGGCTTGGGACTCAGGCAGGCCAGCTTCAGACCTTTTTACCATTAGGCTGCATTTGCTGTTTGGTGACACATAGCTCTACCTGTACCCATTCTACTGGGTGAGGAGCTAATCCCTTCCAGTGAGGGTGCTGAGGAGGTCTCTGGAGAAAAAGGTGGTGTTGGAACTTGACCTTGGAGCTCAGGAAGGGGTGATAGCATGGACGAGTAGAGGCCCCTGCAGGCAAATGGGTTATAGAGATCAGGGGACACAAGACACAGCCTGTGACACGGTGGAGGCCAGTTTCACTACAGCTTCCATTCAGTGACTGCTTCTGCTTTTTTCACAGCCCAGACCAATCAGGCCACTTGGAAAGGCCTTTCCTGGCCTGGACCCTGTTGACAGTCACCCTTCCCTAAGGTCCAGCTTCATCTCTCCCTACTTCCCCTAGCCGCAGTCCCTTAGGTGAGCAATGGATGAGCTGTACTTGGTGCACGTGGACCCCTCTGCTTTGGAAACTTCCAGTTTCCTCCTTCGTAGCTTCATGCTCCCTTATTCCTTAACTGTGTGTGGAAACCTTTCTCACATTCCCCTCCCCCAACTGGGTGAAATGCTCATCTGCTATGCTCTTATGGCTCCCCGTTCTCCTGTCACTGAACACGTCATACTAGACCAGGCTTGGCTATTTTTCTCTCCCCACTAGACTATCAGATCTGGGAGAGCAGGTGTTAAGTCACATCTCTTCCCTGAGGCTGTTGCTCCTAACATGTATCTAACATCAACTAAAATAAGCATCAAACATATTTTTAAGAAATTCCAGCAAAGGATGGTTTTCATGTCCCTTTGGTTATCCATGCTTAGTTTAGCAAATCTATTAAGAAAGTGTTCTTTGAGATCACCCTAAATCTTTGCTATTATTACTTAATATTTCTCTTGATTATTTAGTAGCATATCATGGCATGGATAGATCACAGTTTGACCATTTATCCATTGAAGGACTTCAGTCCTTCAGAATTCCAGTTGAGTTATTATAAATCAAGCTGTTATGACCATTCATGTATAAATTTTGGTGCAAACTTGTTTTCATTTCTCGGGTATAAATTTCCAAGAATGACTCTACTGGGTTGTATGGTAAGCACATGTTTCCTTGTGTAGGCAATGAAGGAAATCCCTCCATTCCAGAGGGGTTGTATTATTTTACTCTCACCAGCAACGTGTAAAAGGTGCAACATCTTCTCCCTGGCATTTGTGGTTATCACTATTTTTTTTATTTTAACCATTCTGATAGGTGTACAGTAGTAGCCTACTGTGATTTTAACTTGCCTCTCATTAATGGCTAGTAATATGAACATCTTTTTATGTGCTTATATGTCACCTGTATATCCTCTTTGGCGAAAGAGACATCTGTTTTGGTTGCTACAATTACTTCTTCCTTTCTTCTGGATACTCTGTGAATTCAAAGACAGAAGGCAAACAACTTACTTATAAATGATGAATTACTATACTTGACTGTCTACTGTGTATAAGAAAGTGCTTTAGGTAAGGGCGATAAAACAGTGAAAAATAGACAAAACCCCTGCTTTCATAAGGCTTGTGCAGTAGTCCCTTCTTGTCCTCAGGGAATATGTTTTAAGACCCCTCCCAAGTGGATACCTGAAACCACAAATAACTAAACCCTCAACTTACGGTGTGGCTTATGATGGATGGGGTCACTCTCAATATGCCCATTGTAAGTTGGACACAGTGCATGGTGAAAATACATTTAATACACCTAACCTACCACACATGCTCATTTAGCAACAACATACACTGTAGAGTATCAGCTGTATGAGTGGCTGACTGGGACTGTGGCTCACCATTGCTGTCCAGCATCTCCAGAGAGTATCATCCTAGTATTACTAGCTGGAAAAAGATCAAAATTCAAAGAAGTAAAATTTATATTGAATATGAAAAATTGTAAGTCAAACCATCATAAATTGGCATCATATTTAAATACTGTTTTTCATCCTATGACAAAGTTAATTTATAAATTAGGCACAGTAAGAGAGTAATAACAATAACTAATAATAAAATAGAATTATTGTAACAATATACTATAATAAAATTACCAGCATCATTTCTCTTAATAGTCAATCTGATAATTGAGATAGCTAAGTGACTAGCAGGTGTGTAACATGGATACTTTGGACAAAAATGATTCATGTCCTGGAAGAATGGAGCAGGACAGTGTAGATTTTATCACATTACTCAAAATGGTGGGCAATTTGAAACTTATAAATCATTTATTTCTGGAATTTTCTGTTTACTATTTTTGGACTATGGTTGACTGAAGGTAACTGGAACTGCAAAAGTAGAACTGTGGTCACAGGGAGCCTATTTTATTACTATAGGGGAGATGACCAGCAAATAAAACACACAAGTTAGCTCATAGCATATTAGATACTCTTAAGTGGTTTAGGAAAAACAAAACAAAACACAGAGGAGGCAGGGAATTCTCTTAATTGCTATTTAAAATAAAGTGATCAGAAAAAAATCTCATTGAGAGGAGACATGTGAGTGACAACCTAAAGAAGGTGGGGGAGGTAGTGAGGGTGTTCAGGCAAAGGGAAACTCTGGCCTTGAAGCACGTATATATGGTATGTTCAAAGGGAATCGAAGTCAAAGTGGCCAGGATGGAAAGTGGATGAGGGTGGAGGGGTGACAAGATTAGAGCAGTAATGGAGGAGGCTGGCCATGTGCAGGACCTCCTGAGCCTGGGTAGGACTTATTTTCTCCTTCAGTGAAATGGGGGTTTCTAGTGTCTGAAACTGAAGAAAGGAGAAGTCTTTGATGGGACAAGGAAGATGGGGAGGAAGCTGGAGAGCTCAAATGGTAATGAGGGCCATTTAAGTGGATTTTTAGGTAACCACATGGTGATGACCAGTTGGTAGGTGGAAGAAGAGTCTGGATGCCCAGGGAGACACTTGAGAGGAGACATTAACTTGAGAGTCACTCCTGGAACAGCACTTGTCCCATAGTGGTCAAAGAGTCATTTCCTCCCATGGTTTCAAGCCCTATGCCTAAGGTTTTAGAAAAACATTACATTGAACCACTTGAAGTTTCCAACTCTGACCATTTTTGACATCTGATAATAATAGTTTCGTGTGGTTTACTCGAATAATATACTAATGTGCCTGATGTTACGTGGCCATCACAGTGAGGGTCTGAAACAGATTCCAAGGATCCAGTCCAGAAATACACCTGCAGCCCAACATACTGGTATGAGGTGATATGTAAGGACTGCCAACAACACACAACCTTTCATGATAGCTTTTGCTGCCTGATGAGTTCTAAAAGCATTTAGTTTTTTGAACCGTTCGAATTTTGTAGTGTTATTTTTATTATTATTATTTTATTATTATTGCTATTATTGTTGCTACCTGTGTGGCATCTGAGGGATTGAAAAAAGTCAATGAATGGAAATTACCGAGAGGCATATTTCAGCCCAATTTTAAGCCAATGTGAATATTATTCAAAGAAAAATTATGCTACTCCTAGCTCTCTGTTCCAAGGGCAAGGGCAGGACCTGAACAACCACTCACTGAGGATATTTTAGAGAAAACTCAACAATGGAGAGGTGATTGGAATTGATGCCTTTTACAGCTCTTGATCTCTCTGAAACAGGGCAATTTGAAATCATTTCTACTCTTTGGGCCTCATCCTGTCCATCTGTCAGATGGGGCTGGGAAATGAAGTTTGTGATTGCGTAGATGCATTGATAGTTCCAGGGTCTGTGCTTATCTGGCTCTCCCCAACCACTACACATCCTTGTTCACAGAGAAATCCTTCTGTGCCATATACCAAGTTCCCCAGAATGTGCCATAAGGGACTAGCCTGAACAGTTGAGAGGGCCAGCAGATGTTTTCCCTGTTGCTTCCTGAATTGGGAAAAGTCATTTTTAGTAATGACTTCTAAATATTGAAGCATGTGTTGACTTGTGCAACATCCCAGCCTTTCTGTAAGATTGTAGTGTGCAGCTCTGCTTTCCTGGAATGGTGTGGATGGTTGCCCTCACTGGTTCTTTTGGGAAATGAACTATTTGATGAAAGATAATTTTTTTCAACAGAAAAAAAATGCACCCATTTTGAATGGGAACCTTTTTGAAATATAGTTTAAACTTCTAAGGCAGTTTTTGAAAAGTGATTATAAGGGCTGGAGGGGTAGCTCATTGTGTTTGCCTAGCATGGACAAAGCCCAGGGGTGGATCCCAGCATGAAACAAATATAAAAGTAACGTAGTTTGATTTTAGAAAACAAAAAACCCAACAACAAAAGGAAACAGATAGCCATCAGGTCTTCTGCAGCTAACTGAACCACATAGATCAATTGTTTCTGTGCTGAAGTGCCTTGAAAATCAGGTTTTTAGAATGTTTCTTCCTCTCTATCCTCAATCACTTTCTTTATAGTTTGCTTACATATAGCTACCCTTTGGATTGAGCAAGTTCCTAGCTGGGCCAGAACCAGCTCTCCCCCTTCCAAGCATAGCGAAACACTTGCATATGTTTAATGGAAGCAACATACAAGGAACAAAGAGCTTCCTGTGAGCAGTTGTCTCAGTAGCAAAAACCTGGTTGCACACCAAAAGCTGTCACCAGTATGGGCAGTGAAGACCCTGGAGAAGAGTCACTCAGTGGGGCATTGAGCAATCATTCAAGTGAAAGAACATCAGCAACTCAGCAACACACTTCAGTACAGGTGAGTCTTAGCATGATAATATCAAACCAGAAGTGAGTTCCCAAAGATTATATACAGGCAAGCTTACCTAGAGTTAATAATAGTATACACACACACACACACACACACACACACACACACACACACACACAGGTACAGCTACTGTAAAAGGATTGCAGAGCAATGGTGAATCTAGGACTCAGGATGATGGAATGAGTGGGTGAGTTGAAGTGGTGGTAATGGGTTTCATATGACATCATTTGATACCCCTCAAGGTCCTAGCTCTTACATTGTTGATATATACTTATAATATTATAGTCAATTAACTAACTGACTAAATAAAAAGTCACAATCCAAGGATTATGATGATTCTAATTCTGTTTATCTGAGATCCAAAAATAAAAAAGAACTAAATCAGAGGTTGCCATGTGTAGTCCTAATAGACTTCCCAGTGAATTATGTGAATTTGGGGGGCTTTGTTCCAGATTCCTGAAGAATTTTAACATTTTTCTTCCTAAGCTGGGGAGGATGTGGCTTAAGTGGTAGATAGGCTGCCTAAAATTTTCCTATCCAGGCACAAGATGTTGCCAGATACATGAGGTCTTGGTGAGCCTGGCTCCATGGTTTCTTTAAAATGCCTGGCGATAGGGTTTGTCTTCGCTGATCGTGTGGTTCCAGTCTCTCAGATCTGTCTCTGGACAGGTGATGGGCTCTGGCTGGGAGAAGAGTGCCCACGTGGAGACAGGATGGCAGAGTGTGAGGGCTATTATTTATTGCCAACTTGATTGGATTGAGAAGTACATAGGAGATTAGCAAAGCACACCTCTGGGTGTGTCTGTGAGACATATCCAGAATGGATCATTAAATGGGGAGACCACCCCACCCAGAACATGGGTGATGCTATCCCATAGGCTGGGGTCCTAGAAGGAATAAAAATGAAAAAAAGGAGAAAGCCTCCATGTGCAGGCATTCTTTCTCTCTGGTTCTTCCTGGCTGCCATGATTTGAGGTGTTCTGCTCTATCATATCTTCCTCACTATGATGGACTGAAATCTCTGAAACCTTGAGCCAAAATGAATCATTCCTCCCTTAAGTTGTTTTGGTCAGGCATTTTCTCACAATGATGAATGGGTTGCCCAGAGGTAGAGAGATGTGCTAGGTGGTTCCACAAGTTCTGAACAAGCAAGGTGGAGCCCAAGGAACAGGGTGTGGTGGTACTTGTCTGTAATCCCAGCTACTCAGGAGGCAAAAGTAGGAAGATTGCAGTCTGAGGACAGGATGGGCCAAAAGCACAAGATCTTATTTAAAAAAAAAATCACTAAAAAAGCAAAAGGATTAGGGTCATGGGCTCAAGTGGTAGAGCAGTTGCCTAGCAAGTATAAGGTCCTGAGTTCAAGCCCCAGTACTGCCAAAAAAAAATGGAGACCAAGGAGTCATGACCAAGCAACCAGACTATTTAATTGGATCATTATTGAACCCCTTCTTCTTTCTCTGGCCTGAATCTGGGAGTGTGGGAATTCTTTCATTCTTGAGGTACTTATTTCATGACCTAGATATCCCAAAAACTGGACATAGAAATACGACCCAGATCTGAGTATGGATATCACTATAATTCCATCGGTGAGGGTAGCACTACTCAACTGCACTGTACTGCCTCCCAGGGCTGTTCTGAGTTGAATGAATCTTGCTATTAAGAAGTAGAGCGCTATCCAAACAAAAAATCAATAAAGAAATCCTAGATCTAAAACGTACCATGGAGCAAATGGACCTAGTTGATGTCTACAGAACATTTCATCCAACTTCTACACAATATACATTTTTCTCATCAGCCCACAGAACCTTCTCAAAACCTGATCATATCCTAGGGCACCAAGCAAGCTTCAGCAAATATAAGAAAATAGAAATAATGCCATACATTCTATCTGATCACAATGCATTAAAACTAGAACTCAACAACAAACATGTAAACAGCTGGAAACTGAGCAACACATTGCTCAATAACCAATGGGTCATTGATGAAATAAAGGAGAAAATTAAAAGGTTCCTGGAAATTAATGAAAATGAAAGCACAACCTACCAGAACTTATGGGACACAGCAAAGGCAGTACTGAGAGGAAAGTTTATAGCCATGAGTGCATATATTAAAAAGACTGAAAGATCTCAAATCAATGACCTAATTATACATCTCAAACTCCTAGAAAAACAAGAACAAGCAAATCACAGAACAAACAGAAGGAAAGAAATAATAAAAATAAGAGCAGAAATTAATGAAATAGAAACAAAAAAAACCATACAAAGAATTAATGAAACAAAAAGTTGGTTCTTTGAAAAAAATAAACAAGATTGACAGACCCCTGGCAAACCTGACTAAAATGAGGAGAGAAA